AGAATTTGGATTTGATATCCCGCTTTATCACTACCCGAAGGAGTCTCAAAGCGGCTAACATTCTCCTTTCCCTTCCTCCCCCACAACAAACACTCTGTGAGGTGAATGGGGCTGAGAGACTTCAGAGAAGGGTGACTAGCCCAAGGTCACCCAGCAGCTGCATGTGGAGGAGCGGAGACACAAACCCGGTTCCCCAGATTACGAGACTACCGCTCTTAACCACTACACCACACTGGCTCTTAGTAATTAATTTCCAATAAACATAAACTATATAATTGCATACCCTCTGATCCACACTTAAGCTGATTTCCTTGGAACTTTATTCCAAGTACCGTATTTTTCGCCCTATAGGACGCACTTTTCCCCCTCCAAAAATGAAGGGGAAATTTGTGTGCGTCCTATGAGGCGAATGCAGGCTTTCGCTGAAGCCTGGAGAGCGAGAGGGGTCGGTGCGCACACACCCTTTTAAAGAGTGCACAGCATCTGCGGGCTTTTGCGGGATGTGAGGGAATTCCCCCACCTCCCAGAAAAGCTAGGAGAAGCCGCTCGCTCTTTAAAGGGGTTGCGCAGCTTCTGCGGGCTTTTGCGAGAGGTGAGGGAATCCTCCCACCTCCCAGAAAAGCCAGGAGGGGAATACTCCCAGAGCTTGTCAGGGCTGGTGGGGGAAGGCTTGCGGATAGCAGCCTGTTCTGGGGGCTGGGGTCGGGGGAAGCTCGGGCTTCCCCCGCCCCAGCCCCGCGCCTGCGGGGGGGGATAATTTTTTTTCTTTATTCCCCCCCCCCAAAAAAAACCTAGGTGTGTCCTATGGGCCGGTGCGCCCTATAGGGCGAAAAATACGGTAAGTATGCTTAGAACAGAAGCTCAAGCGTATCTGTAAAACAGGGGCCCTCCATTCTGCTCCCCAAAATGTGGAAATATGCATGCACACTTGCAGTGAATTATCAGAGGCAAGCCAGTCCTAAAGGTATGCTAGAAAATAAGCTGGGGTGTCTAAATAAAAGCCATGTCCAAGCAGCTGGCAGTAAGCATGTGCATCCTAGCCTCTGACTACCAGAACAAAACCTGGTGTCTATAACTATTAGCATACACAATCTGATGGCTGTTAGAAGAAATTCAAGAGGAGATGGGCAAGTCAGGCAGTTTCAGGAGGCACATGGCCAGCCTGCAGTTGGCCTTATCAGAATAATAAAATGAATTGGAAATCCAAGGATACTAGCAGTGTAATCCATTTGCTTTAAGCTGTCACAGAGAGAGGCAGTGTGATGTAGTGGTTAGTGTTGGACTAGAAATTGATAGACCACGGCTCAGCCATGAAATTCACTGGGCCAGTTATCCTATCTCACCCTTACCTACCACACAGGGAAGTTCTGTGGATAAAATAGGGGAGAGTGAACCATGCGCACCAACATGGACTGCTTGGAGGAAAGGGAGCATATAAATGTAATAAATAACAATATAGATTGTATTCAGCTAAGTTATTCCCAGAGCCGACCCACAGAAAACAATGGGCCTATTCTGGAGTATGTCATTAACACAGCAAATAGCATTTGCCACCAGGAAGTCTCTGCAAACCTACTAAAAACAAAGAAACGCCTGCAGTGCCAATCTGGCTCCTGGCCATCTCAAATCAGCCTTAGGATGCTGCATAGAGCCAGGGCCATCATTAGTCCTGCCTCCATCCCCACTGGTACCAAACAAGTAATGCAGCTCATGCTCCGGTGCTGTGGTTCTGGCACATTAGGGGCTCTGTGAGATTGATCCCATGAGTGTCCATGCAATGACTGGACCATAAAACTTGCAATGCACAAGTGGTTAAATCCAAACCAGAGGTTCAAATTTATATTCTTTATATAAAATCAGAAGAATATTTTCAGAATGTATTTCTAAGAGTTGCAAAGTAATCTCCCAGTGAAGTTTTCCCCTTCTCTTAACTTTGGATTGTGTTTATTCAGCGATACTGTCATGACGCGACTGATTATCCGATTCCCGCCCCTTTTTTACCTTTATTCTTGTTTGCTTCTGAATAAGAAAATCCTGCAGCTTGTCCGGTTTTTCGGCCAAAGAGACCCCAAAGATTTGGGCCAGTCTTGTGCTTTCCACCTTTTTCAGCTGTATGACACTGAGAACATTTTTGAACAAAGATCTTTTTACCCTTTTCAAAATCACCCATGGCAATCTATGAAAAAGAAATGCGGAAAAATAAAACTACGATGTGTTTGAAATGATTCCCTCTTTTTTAGCACACTTGTTTCTCAATGCATGTTTATATTTGAAAGGAAGAAAGCAAAGGAAAACATGATTTTGTGGTGATGGTAGTGTAATGGAACACTGGAAGTACTATTGTTTAATAGAAAGCTAACAATTTGATCCTACACTTATTAACTCATAAGGATATCCTACAGACCTCTGTGAGATATACTTCCAAGTAAGTGTGTACACAAGATTGTGCCCACAGGCTAGTCTTGAGATCACTTACCTAAACATATAGAGTAGGGAGGGATTTACCTCTTAATAAATATGGACAGCATAGATTGCTCTCCTGGTTTTCAGACAGAAGTCATTTGACAATGTTCTTTTCTCTGCTTATGGCATGCTTACAATGGACATCTGCTTAGTGTGAATTTTAAAAGCTGTACATCACTGGTTTATATGCAGTCACTCATTTATATGCTGTCACTGGTTTATATGATAGCTGAGGTTTGATGGAATGGGGCGAGACAAAAAAGGACCCAGCAGTCGACTCATCTGCTTCTAACCTATTATTTCTGCACACGGACCATTGAACCATCGCCCATGCCATGAGTGCACCATAAAAATAACAGGTGATTTGGAAAATGATGCTGGCTTTGGGAAGCTCTACTGAGAAATCATGAGGATCCATGAAGATCTGACATGTTTCTGCATGGAAGCAATGCTCAGTGGGTTGCCTATGAAAGATTGCTAGTTCCAGCACATGGCCCATATACAGTACAGGGAATTATAGAAGTAGGTGCTCTGTACCTATGCCTCAAGTGGAACAGAAGGATTAAGCTTTTAAACAAGAGGGTGAAACGTTTCTGGCCACCCAGCCTAATATTTATTGGAAAAGAAATGAATGTGTGTGCGTGTGTACAGTAAATAAATGCGCTCTCTCTCTCATGTGGAATAAGCATAATATACATACTGTAGCTGCTCAAAGCTGACTGAATGGGTGTGATATAAACTGGATAACAAAATATTATGGAGGATTAGATGCTTTACAATAAGAATAAAATAAAAGTAGGGGAGCAGGGTCTCTCCCCTGAGATTCCTGCCAAGGTAGCAAGTTTCTGTGTGGCAAAAAACTATAAACACTTTATGGTGGGGTTTTTTGTTTTTTAAAAACCCATTCTAATACAATGATTTTATATTTCCCACTGTTTCTGTATTTGACATTGCTTTTAAATACAATATATTTAATGCTGCACTTCATGTAATATACTGTGTTTTATGTGTTCAGTTTTCTTCCTCCCTTCTCTACCAGTTATTAAGATATACCTTTCTATCTATATCTAGATATCTATATCTAGATATAGATATCTATACCTATTTATATCTAGATATAGATATCTATATCTATCTAGATAAATCTAGATATCACACACACACACGTGTGGAATAAGCATGATATAAATATCTGCTCAAAGCGGACTGCTGGAAGGAATGGGCGAGATATAAACCGAATAACGAAACGTTCTTGAGGACTAGGCACTTTACAACAAGAATAAAATGAAAGGAGGGGAGCGGGGTTTCTCCCCGTTCCCTGTTATCTCTCCCTACCACGGCCTACCTTCAGTCCAGACTACGACAGGGCCCAGCCCCTCCCCCTCCCCGCTAACAAGCCAGTTTCCACCGCGTCGCGCGACTGTCACAACTCGATCGCGCATCTGGCGACAGACGCCGCCAAGGCGGATAAAGGTTTTTAACGTGTCACAATAAAGCCGACCAATCACAAGCCACCGTCGGCGGACGTTCTGGGCAGCGATTGGTGCCTTCTGTCGGGGGCGGGGCCGTTCTGCTTCGGACCAAGACTTCCCGCCTGTGGGAGAAAAAATGAGCCGGCGCGCGTTCAACAGTCGGCGGCGGGAGACGGAGCCCAGTTATTGGCTCTCGCCGTAGCCAATAGCGGCTCCTTTCTCTGCTGTCCTCCCCGCCCCTTGGTGTTACGGTTAAAATGCGCGGAGACCGTTTCTGTTTGTTTGACACTCGCGAGAGTAGGGGCTTTATCGCCTCCTCATCGCGAGGGGGCGCTGTGGTGCGTTCGATTTCCCTGCGCCGTGAGCGGTACCATCGAGATGCGGATGTTGCAGGAGAGCAGACGTGACAGCTCGAGGCCGAGCTTCCGGTTTCCGTCCAAGATGGCGGCAGCGATGTCTGGTCGCCTCCGATATTGGAAGCGACGGCAGCCGTTTGTCCCTGGCGTGAAATAAACGCGAATTCCCACCCTCAGGCGACAGTCGCTTGCTTGTGGGGACGGGCAGAGATGTGTCTGTCGGAAGACAGCTCTTTGAGAGCCAGATTATCTCGCTGGACTAGCACAGCAAGAGGACTTTCCTCAAGGCTGCCCTCAGCTCGCAGGCTTGTCTGGCCATGGAAGCGAGGAAAGGTCTGCACTTGTTGCCGACCTCTTAAGCCCCTGAAGCAATACCTCCGTCGTTAACTTTCCTGCCCCTTGTCAAATAACGGAACTTGCTGTAGTACTCCCAAGACAAAAACACGATTCAGTGTGAAATATACTCGGAGTTGGGAGTGGATTTAATGCACTTTATTCAGCTCACAGTGGTGAGAAGGAATGGAAGTTCCCCCAGAATGTCTGCTTTATATACATTACTTACACAATGATTACTTACACGTGATTGGCTAATTCCGGGATTCTCCTGTAGGCCAATCAGGTTGCTGATTCACTTCCATCTGGAGCTGGATTGGGTGGCTGCTGCATTCTGGATCCTATTGTTATAGGACCAATCGGACTGCTGCATTCTGAATCCTATTGTTCTAGGACCAATCAGACTGCTGCATTTTGGATCCTATTCAACTCAGTACATAACAAATGTGTTGTTAGACAAGAGGAAATGTTCTACAAGGCAGCAAGTGTGAAATTGGATCAGGCTTGCTTTTCTCTACATAGCTGCTGAGTCCCCTGCTCTCCTACACAGACAAGCCTCAAAGGTCTATGTCTTGGAAACTGGATTCAATCATTTCATCAGGTGTTTCTGAGAACTTAAGGTGGAGATCTCTAGACCTTTATTTCTGTATTTTTTTTTGGGGGGGGGAAGGGCTTCCTTCTTTAAAAGGCAAAGTTTTTAATCTGCAAACCCTGCTTAGAACAAGTTGCTGGCATCTCCTTAAGTCTTGCTACCTACACAGCATCAGTGAGTGTCACTTACACAAAATAAGATAAAAGTCTTGTGAAAATGGGAAGTTTCCGCATTTTGCATCTATTTAGGACCATATGTAAATGAAAATTTAGCTCCACGCTGTTACATTATCCATGAAATAAAAGCACTGAAGCTTTATTCTTCTGTACTTAAGGTCTCATGCTATCTTTACTCCAGCATGGTAGCTATAATGATCAATTCAGTTCACAAGCTGCCCTTCTCCTTAACCTTTCAATTCAAGCCACAATTAATAAAAAAAAAGAGACTAATTTTAATTAAACCTGGCTTCTCTAATACATAAGGCAGGGGTGGCTAACCTGTGGCCCTCCAGATGTTTCTGAACTACAATGTCCATCAGCCAATGGCCAGTGATAAACTTCACAACTACCCTTGGTAATGGGAACCTTGGACAAGTCACTTAGCTGACACTACCACAGATTGTGAGGGTAATGGCGGGACCCCTGTCATCTTGAGTTCTTTGAAAGAATGTGAGTATTAAAATATGAGAACTATCCAGTGATGTAATGCCTCCAGTTCTTAATTCTCTAGGAAGGATAAAAAATGAGTGGGAAATGAAATGAAAAGGGGCACAGAAGTAAACTCAGAATGCAGGGAGCTATGTGATTTAGGCCAAATTAGCTATCACCCTTAGTTTCATTCCAACATTAGTCATGTGCAAATCGGACCACCTTAGGCCCAAGTGCCAAATGTGGCCCTCCAGGCCCCTCAGAACTTTCCCCAGGCCCCACTCCTTACTGTCCAAGTTTGTAGTCTCCTTGTGTGTGTTTGTGACTAGAATGTGTCCTTGAACTCTGATAATGCCTCTTCATTGCTTAGATGGAGGATGGAAAGGGGTGTGTGAATCTATAGAAACTATCCTGCTGTCAGGCTGCAGAGTATCCAACCCCCACGACAGGTTGCCAGGAACAGATAAGACAAGGAAAAGTCCTTACCAACCGTTTTTCATTCAATATTCACAGAGAGAGGCTTAGAAATGTAGCCTCTTGGAATAATGGTGTTGCCCTGAGTGAGTCCCCACCCCCTCCCTCTCATGTGTCATTGTTACAGGTGCCGAAAAGTGCCCTCTACCTTTGAGCTCTTTGCTCTCCTACCTTCAATGCTCGCCGAGTTCTGGGTGCTGGGGGGCTGGAATGCTTTCTAAAGACACTGTGTCCATCAGCTGTCGCCCCTCTGGTGCTGCTTCTACTTCCTCCTCTCCCATTATTTCCCAGCTTTCCCCCTCATCTGCCTCTGAGCTGTGATCTCCCTCAAACGCCTGTTGTAATTCTGAATTGTCTTCTTCTCTGGAAGGGTCAGGCTGGGGAGGCAGTCCCCACCATTCCTCCTCTGCCCAGTCCCTGACACCTGCTGTACAAAGACAGATCCTGCAAGTGTCCCTATTTTCCAGGGACAGTCCCGGATTTACAGAAGGTTTCTGATTTGATCCTGGAATGTCTAGCTTTTCCTTAGGATGTCCCTATTTTCATCAGATAAATGTCGGAGGGTATGGAGTTATATGACCCCCCAACTTAAGGCGATAAGTAACTATATAACCTTTAGAAAACATCTGAAGGCAGCCCTGTATAGGGAAGTTTTTCTTAATGTGTAATGTCCCTATTTTCATTGGAGAAATGTTAGAGGGTATGCAAAGATAAAGTTTACATTTGATGCTCTGCCCACTTTTGCCTCTTGCCCCACCTACCACTGACCTATGGCCCTCAGAAGGTTGCCCAGAAAGGAATGCGGCCCTCAATCTGAAAAGGGTTTCTTACTCTTAGAGTAGACTCATCAATGAGCTAAAGTCATATAAGTTATATTAGTTTCAGTGGGTCTGCTCTGAGTATGACTTAGTTGTGTACCACCCAATGATTCTAAAGTAAAATCTCTTCAGATTATATGCAAGCTGAGTTCTGTGTTGTTAACTTGCTAGTTTCCAAGAAAGTGTGTATGGAAGTTATTGACATGTGTCACCACATAATAATAATAATAATAATAATAATAATAATAATTTTATTATTTGTGTTGCACCCATTTGACTGGGTTGCCCCAGCTATTCTGGGCAGCTCCCAAACGAATATTAAAAACACGATAAGACATCAAACTTTAAAAACTTCCCTAAACAAGGTTGCCTTCAGATGTCTTCTAAAAGTAATATACAGTAGTTGTTTATTTCCTTGACATCTGATGGGAAGGCTGGTGCAACTACCAAGAAGGCCCTCTGCAGGATGGTGGCAACGTGTATTTGGAATGAAAAAAAATAGTACATTATCTTGTAAATTGCCTTGGCTTGTTTTACACAGGCCAGTGATGTTAGCGTTGTAGCATCCAATAATCATGGTTCTTCTGCACTGGACAAAGGCTTTTTGTTCTCCCAGCCCCTATAACATATTTTAATGCTGGGCGGTTGGGTTTTAGCCCTTCTCAGCTCTTTTATTAGTAGGTTGTTTCACACAGCTTGTTCTGCTCTTACTGTTTTCTGTGGGATTTTAAAAATATTGTATTTGTTTCATATTGCCCTCCATATTTTTTATATATACATATACATACAACCACCCACCCACACCCTGTTTGTTATATGTCACTAGAGAACACGTATTACAAGGCGATGGAAAAATACAAATAATATTTTGAAAGAGAGCAGAACAATTTCACCCCTTACTATGCAAAGCTCTGTTACAATCCAGCAGAGGTCACTGGTGTCCAGGATCTTAATATATAATATGTACTTCAACAGGGCAAATTAACAATTGTATTTTGGAAAATCCAACATTTTTTGCAGGTCGTTAATGCAATATTTTGCCACACACGTACGTGTAGATATACTGATATGAACTTTGAGTTTCTTTTGTGGCAGAAGTCTTAGGTGAAATCTACTTCTGGACAAATAGGTTTACTTCTGGGCAGACTACAAATTTATGTGCTGCTTATCACAGGCTGATGCTCTTCTTCCTCTGTTTTCCACATTTTATTCAGAATTGGGTTACTCAAACTGTTCCCAAATAGAACAATTCTAATTTTAAACTGCAATGTGGGTTTTATGCCTTTAATAACTTTCCCTCAGAACCTTTTTCAGTTCCTATTTTAGGAGGTGTTAAGCTAATTATGATTATGCAATTTCTTGACTAAATAGGATAAGGCGGCAGTGATGAGCAACAAAATGTGCAAGAGATGAAGGGATGCCATCCAAGTAAATAAAAGAAAGGAAAAAGGTGGACAGTCAAAGGGAAAATAGAGCATATAAGTATCTTCGAAACCAACTTGGTAAGTAAGTAGTACATACATTAAGAAGATTAAGGACTCAAAATAGGTCAAGGGGGCTGTTTTTTAATGACAAAACTACAGTGTGTCATGAATTATCCAAGCTCACAAAGTGACTCCACTGCACACACAAACCCTCAGAATTGCCTTCAGTGACCAGAGTGCTTTATGAGCACAACACACAAGGTCAACCTATGGTGGCAATGGGTGGGAGGAGGGAACATGTATGTAGATGCGGGCAAACTGGGTGCGGCCGAAATGTAAAAGGGGACTTGGTGAGAGCAGAGGATTCTCAGTAATCACAGCAGTCTGTCCTCTGGCAGAATTGAGCCATGAGCCAGGATCACTGTGTTTCCCCTAGCGCAGTGGAACAAACAAAATATCTCCTACGGTCAGATATTTTTCTTCCAGGACTTATTTCCTGGACACAAAGAGCATTTGACAGACATGTTTAGAGATTCCGGGCCAGATCAAACGTAGTAACGTAAGGGAGCGCTGTAAGAACAGGCATGCCAAAGCACACAATGGGTGACATCTGTTATCGCAGCTGTTTCCTTCTGTGTCAATTGCTGCAGCAGCAGCCTTGCTCTTTCCTCCTGTCCACAGCCTCTCGGAGAACACTGCTGGGAAGCCGTCACATTTCAGCCTCCATGAGAGTCGGCCTTTGCACATTATAATAATACTCCTTTTTCTGGACAGAAGGATTCCTTAAACATTTAATTGTACATGCAAGCGTAAGAGTAGCCATCTGGATTAGGTCAAGGCCCATCTAGTCCAACAGTCTGTTGTCACAGTTGCTAACCACATGCCCATGGAGAAGCCCACAAGCAGGACATGAGGAAAACAGCCCTCTCCTGACTTGCTGTTCTGATATTTAGAGGCATATTGCCTCCAGCAGTGGATGTAAAACAAAGCCACTGATGACCCTTTAAGCCTTGGATTTGTTTATCCTTCTTTTAAAGGCATCCATCACTACCTTTGATGGCAGTGAATTCTATAGTTTACTATGCAATCTTTTGTCTTTCTCTAGCCACTTTCTCCATACTTATATACTCTGTATCCTCCAACCTTTTCTCTAAACTGAAAAGTTCCCCAACTTTTCTTCATAGGGCAGATTGCCCCAACCCCTTGCTGAGTGATCAGAACTTACTCAGCGAGACAGAGAGGAAAAAGCAGTCTGCACTTGCCTCATAGGGGAGCTGTTCCACCCCCTTGAACATTTTTGTTGCCCTTCAGTGAACCTCTTCCACCTCTACAGTATCCTTTTGTAGTTGAGGCAACCACAACCACACACAGTATTCCAATTACCGCATTTTTCTCTCTATAATACGCACCTGACCATAAGACACACCTAGTTTTTAGAGGAGGAAAGGGGGAAAGCCCTGTTTTTTGGGGGGAATCAGCCCACAGTTTTGCAGCTTCTTTTGCAAAGGGGAAAAGCCCCATTTTTTTTTTTAGGATCAGCCTCAAAGTTGTGCGGCTTCTTTTGCAAAGGCAAAAAGCCGCGTTTTTGAGGATCACCTCACAGTTGTGCAGCTTCTTTTGCAAAGGGGAAAAGCCCCGTTTTTTGAGGATCAGCTCAAAGTTGTTGAGCTTACTTTGCAAAAGGAAAATATTCTGTTTTTATAGGGTTCACCTCACAGTTCTGCAGCTTCTTTAGGAAAGGAAAGGGAGCCATTTCTACAGTGTCCAGAAAGATAATCTAATCAGCCAGTCACATGTCGCTGGGGAAAAAACAGCCTCCATCTGCAGAACATTCAACAATGGAGGCCTGGGCAATGGGCCGGGGCTGGAAAGGGAGCCAGCGATTGACCACACATTTGCTCCATAAGACGCACAGACATTTCCCCTTACTTATTAGGAGAGAAAAAGTGCGTCTTATGGAGCGAAAAATATGGTACGTGAAACCTCAGATTCGTATAATGCCATTATGACATTAGCAGTTTTATTTTCAATTCCTTTCCTAACTATTTGTAGCATGGAATTCACCTTTTCCACAGCTGCTGCATGTTGGGGTGACATTACCATTGAGCTACCCATGATGACCCCCAAGGTCTCATTCCTGGTTGGTCACTTTCAGTTCAGACCCTATGATTTGTCTAGGTGAAATTAAGATTACTGGCCCCGGTGTGCATCATTTTACACGTTAAATACATTGCAATTTGCCATTTTACTGCCCATCCACCCGGTTGGAAGAGAGCCTTTTGAAACTCATTGCAATCCCTTGTTTTAACAAACCTGACTGGTGTGGTATCATTGCCAAACTTGGCTTCCTGGCTGTCAAATCATTTGTGAACAAGTTAAAAAGCAAAGGCCCCTATACTGATTCTTGGATTCAGAGGTGGTTGTAGGGTACCCTGACTGGTGCAGCCATACTATGTGCAGCACTGCTGGGGGTGCTGCAGCAATGCTGTAGAATAGAGCATGTGTGGTGGAGGGGGGTTTGTTGCAAATTTTAGCACCACACAGGGTGCCACTAAAATCTGAGAGCCCAAAGTCTGCCACAGTTGGGAAGTTCTATGTTCCTCCATTGGGAGAAGTATCCATTTATTCCTGTTCTCCGTTTCCTGTTTCTCAACCAATTACTGATCTATAAGAGGGCATCACTTCGTTGTCCATTATTACTCAACTTAGTCTTTGGTGAGGTAGCAAGGAACTACAGTCATACCTTGGTTCTGGAACGCCTTGCGAGTTGAACGTTTTGGCTCCTGAACGCTGCAAATCCGGGAGTGTTCCGGTTTGCAAATGTTCTTTGGAACCCGAATGTCCAACGCAGCTTACGCAGCTTCCGATTGGCTGCAGGAGCTTCCTGCAGCCAATCGGAAGCTGCGCCTTGGTTTCTGAACGTTTTGGAACTTCCGGAACTGATTCCGTTTGACTTCCAAGGTACAACTGTAGCTCCAAATGAACATGGATATAATCCCTGAGGGGAGAAGCTTAGCTGTTTAGCTGCACTGTTTGTCAGTCATCAGAGACAGTTCCGCTGTCCTATTAAAAAAACAAACTTTTGTCTCTTTTGCTGGAATAAAAGAAATAACATACAAGGTGTTTCCCTAACCATGTGATGCAATGTGTGAGGACCCAACTAAGATCACATGCACCCCATACATTTAAAGCACATGACGTCCCCCAAGGAATCCTGGGAGTTGTAGTTTGTTAAGGCTGTTGGGAATTGTAGCTCTGTACGGGTAAATGGCAGTTTCCGGGATTCTTTGGGGGAAATCATGTGCTTCAAATGTATGGAGCGTACGCAGCCTTACTCATACTTGGAGCAGATCCACCGAAATCAGTGGGCTTAATTGAGCCATGCTATTAATTTCATAGGTCTACTCTGAAGTATGGCTTTGTTGGATACAGCACATCACATCTGAAATTCCTCGCAGGAGGTTATTCCCAGTATTTTCCAGAAATCTACATAAAAACACCATTGTTAAAAAACAGAAACCTGAAAGCTGTACCCCATTCCAAGAGTTAATAACTGCAGCTGAGCGTGGCGCTTAAAAGAAATCTGTTTTCAGGGACAGTGATTCTTTCTTGTCAGATGCTGAGGTTAAAGAAGATTGATAATGCCTTACGCAAGCAATTTACAGCATCCTCCAAGGGCTTCAAAGTATAATCCATTGTATTTTAGCTGTAATTTCACATTCAAAGAAGCTGAAAGTAGTTTTCAAAATGTGTATTTTTTTGGGGGGGGAGGACCTTCCATTTTACAGTGTCCACTGGCATCCTGTGCATTAAATATACATAGTATTTATCTTGTGATAATCACTGGCCTAAAAGCTGAATTACAGTGTTTATTCTTTGTTGCAATGTGTCTTTTTCTTCTTAGAGGCTCTTGAAGCGTCTGCGTAAAGCTAATTGTTCAATGATTATCATGATGAGCAGACACCTTCTACCAGATATAATATTTTTATGCTTTACTATGTTTTTATGGTCACACAATATCATTTTCTCATCTGTAATAGGACCCCAGGTGCTGCCTAGATGTTAGGAGGAACGCTGCATGTTTCATCACTGGCACTTAAAGAACAGCATTGAGGTCCAAAATGTATGTCCTTAAGGAGATCTTCTAGCAATTAATCCTCTTTCCTCTGACAAGTGTTTATGTGAGATTGCTCTGTTTCCTTTTATATTTTATCTATCTATCTATCTATCTATCTATCTATCTATCATCTATCTATCTATCTATCTATCTATCATCTATCTATCAATCATCTATCATCTATCTATCTATCTATCTATCATCTATCTATCTATCTATCTATCATCTATCTATCTATCTATCTATCTATCTATCTATCTATCTATCTATATCTATCTATCATCTCTATCTATATCTATCTATCTATCTATCTATCTATCTATCTATCTATCTATCTCTATCTATCTATCTATCTATCTATCTATCTATCATCTATCTATCTATCATCTATCTATCTATCTATCTATCTATCTATCTATCATCTATCTATCTATCATCTATCTATCTATCTATCATCTATCTATCATTTATCTATCTATCTATTATTATTATTATTGGTGCACCAAGTGGTGTGGTTCTTTTTCTGCAGGAAGAGGAATGGAGTATTTTTTGGGGGGGGGAATTAGTAATGCAAGTCCTTTGCAGTATGTATTTGCTTAGACAATACAATTGTGGAGTAATAACAGTTCCTGAATTCATTCCATTCTCTGATTAATCCACAGCACTATGGATGAACAAATCTGTCAATTCCGGTTTCTCTCAGTTCCTTGTCACTGCAACCTTAATTTCAGTTCTCCACATTCTGGTGGCAATTTGCATTTTTCAAAATAATCCTCATGAAAATTCATTAGCATTTTTTGGGTGAATTTCTCCAAACGTACACATTTTTGTGTGCCATTTCGAAAAACATACTGCATTTTTGTACATTTTTTTCACCAATTTATGCATTTTATGACTTCAATATAAGTATTTTTGTGCACATCATTTGGATAACTGCACCCCAGAATTAGAAAACTGTACATTTCACAGTCTAATTGTGTTTTGGTTAACATACTGATTCAGAAAGTACAAATCAGGTAGTTTCTCATCAGAATGCAAACAAAATATAATTTCTCTCAAACCCAGACTGCGTAAATATTCCAATCAAAGTTGATATTAACAAATCCACACCACCTAGCAAGATCAGGGAGTCTTAGCCAGGGATGCTTTAAACTACGTCAGGATTATTGTGAGAGAATGGCATGCACTGTTCCATTGAACAATCACCCTAGGGTGTCAGCAAAGGGATATAACTTTAACTATCTGGCATGTCTTGTTCTGAAGACAGGAAGTCATAATCTCAGGAGAACATCTGTTGGCTAAGAATCTCTTAATCTTTATTTCAGTGCATCTGTTTACAGCTTCTGTAGCTTATATTACACAAGAGACCAAGGTGGAAAGTTTTCACTACTAAGTCTGCAACATTGTGCCTACTGAAAACCTGGAGCACCAAAATTAGCTATTTATTCCAAATCAATATATGATTTTCAGGCCTTGTGGTTCTGCAATTCTCCCCTTTTCTGCCTATGCTCTTTCCCAGTTTCCCTTTCCCTCTGACTCTTCAGTCTGGTTTCCTCATTCATCGGGACTTATCCCTCCTGACCTCGGTTCCATTAGTGTGCTAACCTCCTCCTCTCTTAGGGCCTTTGTGATTCTTTGATGTGGGTCTTTACTGCCCTGTTCTGCTTTGGGATCTCCAAAGTAATTCAACTAACAGTAATTAGAGACCTTACAGCAGGTGTGAGGAACATTCAGTCCCCAGATGTTGCTGAACTACAACTCCCATCACCTTGGCCGTTGGCCATGTTTGCTGGGGCTCATGGGAGTTGTAGTTTAGTGACAACTGAATAGCAACACTTCCCCACCCCTGCCTTGCAGCCTGCCCCAGTCTCCTTTGCGTTTTAGAGTATGGTTACCAGACGTCCCCGTTTCCCGGGGACAGTCCCCGGATTCACAAATCTGTCCCTGGACAAAATCCGTCCCCAGATTTCATTGAATGTCCCCGGATTTATATTTTAAGTGTTGTAGATTTATTAGTAGGGAATGAATGTTGCGTGATGGGTTCAACGGCACAAGACACATCATAGGGAGACTTCTGGTGAGGCAAAATGGTGGACGCCATGGCAGCAAGCAGCTCCTGAAGCTAGCCAGAGCCAACTGCACTACCAGGCTGTCTCCAGGCTGCTGAGACTGCCACTGCCCCCAAGGGGGAACCAGGGATGCCCAGTGCTTCAATTGGGGGAACCGCTCACACACACACACCCCACAACCCAAATCGAGCCAGGCGTGAGAGTGCCCGGCCAACTGCCCAGCATATCTCCGGAGCCAGGAAAACCCCCGGAGCCAACGCAGGGAGAAGGAGGAGAGGAGAAGTGAAGTTATGGGGAACCAGCCAGAAGGCCTTCTCGGCAGTCACACCCGCCCTGTGGAACGCCCTCCCTGCAGATGTCAAGGAGATAAACAATTACGCAACCTTTCAAAGACATCTGAAGGCAGCCCTGTATCAGGAAGTTTTTAATGTCTGATGTTATATTATGTTTTTATATTATGTTGGAAGCCACCCAGAGTGGCTGGGACAACCCAGCCAGATGGGTGGGGTATTAACAACAACAACCTGTTGTATTTGTCGTCCTCAACCTTCAAACCTCCCCCCTCCCCCCCACAACTGTTTTATCTGCCCAATGAAAATCTCCTTACATATTGTTGGTGGTAAATTTATATTGGAAACATAGGAAGCTGCCTTTTACTGAGTTACACCTCTGGTTCATCTAGCTAAATATTGTCTACACTGACTGGCAGTTGCTCTCCAGGGTTTTTGACAGAGGTATTTTCCAGCATTATCTGGAGATCCCAGGCCATTGAAATGGGGACCTATTTCATGCAAAATATCTTCTCTGCTTCTAAGGTAGTAGTAGTACTGATACAGTAACTGTGTATATGTGTGTGAACAGAAGGTTCATTTTAATGTACCTCAGAAGTCAAACGGAATCTGTTCCGGAAGTGTGTTCGACTTCCAAAGCACAGCTTCTGATTGGCTGCAGGAAGCGCCTGCAGCCAATTGGAAGCCGCCGAAGCCCCATCGGATGTTCGGCTTCCAAAAGGACGCTCAAAAACCAGAACACCCACTTCCGGTTTTCAATTGTTTGGGAGCTGAGACGTTCAATTCCCAAGGCATTTGGGATCCAAGGTACGACTGTATTTTGAATGAGGCCGTGATCTTACACTTGCACCAAATAGTGAAAAAGCAGCTGGTTTTCACTGCAAAACTTTCATGTTTTTTTAGATTAAAAAGTCACTATTTGCAGCTGCACTAACCTTTGTCACGCTTGCATTTTAAAACTGGGTTACTAAGCATTTCCCCCTTCTTGTGTGTTGCTTGTACTTGTCATTCTCTGCCGCATTAATGACAGCTGCACAAGCTGTTGTTAGGGTTCGCTTGTCTTGTTCTCCTAACCCTGTGAAATGTAATTGCTTTTGATTGGCTTGTCAGGTCGGTGGCATGCAAGTCATATAGCATAATATTTTTTTAGTTTGCCACTAAATAGCCTGTGCTTTCAGGGGTAGCCTTCAGGGCTAAGGCATCGTGTAATCACTGCTTTCTAAAATTAGGCAAATAATAAATAATATGAAGTTTAACTTGCAAATGACATTCAGGGATATGCCAATTGCTGAAGTGTAAATCCTATGGCTGACATAACTACAATATATGTGGACCAATGGAATAATAAAATGGGAGTGACAGTCAAAAAATTAGTTGCATCAGTGTGCAGTAACTTTCAGTTGCCCAATGGGGCCTCCTGTCCACCCCTCTCCTGCACATCCCCCTGCCCCACTTGGCTCTGAGTGGGGCTGGGTGAATCCCCAGAATTGCGCACAGGTGAAGGAGGTGAAGGAGAGCGGAGACTGTCCTGCCTGGCAAGCCAAAATTCGAAATGATGTCAAATTCTTCCCTGGGAGTTTGCAAGACATGGAAGGGGAAACAGACAAAAGGTTGGGTATGGAGCAACAAGATTTGCTTCTACATCCACTGCAGATGTCTTTTTCATTGCACATTCATCATGATTTGTGCTCATGATGCTATCAGGATAGCCATATGTGACCCTGCTTCCCAAACTATTTGTACTGGCAAAATAGTTTTGGGGTGACCATATTGCTTCATTCCCAATTGGTTGCATATCTCATAACTTCCTGTGACATTTCATACCACAAAGGTTCTGGGGTGGTGTTGTTTTTTGACCCAGTTTGATTGCCCTGTAGCTCCTCCGATTAGCAATAATGTGGTAGCATAGGGGAAGCATTGTGGAGTGACTGATAAAGCGCAATAAATTAACCACAAATGCACTGCTATTGTGTCAATTCACCTGCACTAAAACATCAGTCAGCTGCTTCCTTGCCATTCCTTCCCATCTCCATCACAAACTATATAGCCAGAACATGTCAACCAGTTTGCATAGAACATGTATTACTTAATGAATGGTATGCATTAATTCTAAGAAAGCTGCATTTCCCACAGCCCTTGGTTTCTGCACTTCCAGTTTTGCGTGACTACCCTAAATCAATAGTGCAGGAAGCAGAGAAGCCCTAAGGGCATGACAACACCAGCTGTTTCCCCTGGGCTATGTCCTAGAACATGCCAGGAGCCATTGGCAACATCCTGCATTCTCAAATGCTGGAATTTCCAAAGCCAGCATTTTGTGCATGCAAGTCCTGATGTAAGACGGGGAAGGTGAATGTTGCTGACTCTGATAAGTGAAATTGGAGAAGAACCTTCAGTATTCAAGTACAGTCGTACCTTGGATGTCGAATAGAATCCCTTCCAGAAGTCTGTTCAACTTCCAAAACGTTCAACTTCCAAAGCGCAGCTTCTGATTGGCTGCAGGAAGCTACTGCAGCCAATTGGAAGCCACGGAAGCCCCGTCAGATGTTCGGCTTCTGAAAGAATTTACAGTTTTCGATCGTTCGGGAACTGAAATGTTCAACTACTCGGTTTGGGAGCCGAGGTACGACTGTATATGTTTGATCTACTAGGCAAACCACCTTGAACACATAATGAGAAAATTACCGGTATTTCAGATGCAGATGGCAGATATAATGGTTGGCCAGCTCTAATTTACCGTCCCTCTAGAATGTGTGATGTAGTTGCCTTGCCAGTGTCATCTGACAATCTCCCGCCAAACGTAAGAGTGCCCTACAGTCTACTCCTGCATGATGCACACTTTTTGATTATTACTGCTCTCTAATTGTGTTATCCTCTAGATCTGTATAGTCTTATTAACTGTATATGCAAGATGCTGTTGCAATGCAGGTCGTTTGGAAGTGTTTGCTTTGTCAAAATGCCTCCCACCAGAGCTGTTTAACCAAGTACAAAGGAGCAAAGGGTGAGCATCAGGTTATCAATATTAAGCTTCCAGCTATTCTGCATTGATTCCCTTCTCTCCCCACCCTCCCTTTTCTGGTGTACTGTTCAATCCCCTTCACAATTTCCCTGGCTATGGAACTAGTACCACCTGAGGTCTGATCCTGATGTGGAATTTCTTCGTCCATGTATCTGTAGTCTGGTGGGCATTCCCCAGTACTGAAGTGCCAAATTACAGCACAGGAAATTCACAGCATCTTAAACCCCAGCCTGTTGCTCTTCTCAAGGTTGGTAGGTCAAGGCTTTCCAATATGGTCGCTTTTATGGAGATTGCTTATATTCACTTCATGTTTGCGGAGAGCAAAAATACAAGCATGCCTTTGTATTGCTTTCACAATGGTTGGTTCAGCTCTGGAAGCCATGCCTCCAGAAGTCAGATTGGTGGCTAACCTTCTAGCTTGTGGTATCCTGCCTTTGGAATGTTCCTCTGCCATACTCTTCCAGTGTCACGACTTGGGTGGCAGGTGAAGCATTTCAATTACAGTATTTTGACTCCTAGTTCACCATGATGCTGACACTTTACTTTTTAATGGGCTTTTGTTGTTGTTTTCATTTACCTTCTTTTTCATAAGCCCTTTCATAAGCCATAAGGCCTTTTTTCCAGCCAGAATTCACTGGAACTGAGTTCCAGCATCTCTCAGGTGGGCACCTATGCCCTCAAAAGAGAACAAGGGAGGCGTTCATGGCGAGTTCCGGCACATCTTTTTCTAGAAAAATAGCATTGACTAGCTACGTTTTGTGGGGCTCAGGAGTCCCGTTACGACACCCCTTGCCAGCAGAGCCGGCAGCCACTCACCCCCTTTTGAACACCCTCTCTTGGGGAGTGTTCCCTCAGCGTCTTCTCTTCTCCCCTCTCCTTGGCAGTTTGCAGGGCAGCCGCAACTGCCACCCCTGGTCTCTGAGCTGCCCCCCTCACTGCCCCAAAGAGAGGTGTCTCCTCACACTGCCCCACAGGGGCCTGGGGAGCACCCCCTGGCCAGCCCCAGAGGACCATTTGCCTGGGGAGCTTGTAGCCAGGGCTACTGCGACAAACAGCTGTGTAAGCCTTTGAGAGGCAGAGACGTGAGAGGGCATCAGAAGAGGGAGGGAATGAAAGAGGGATAGAGGCCAGTGTTGCCTGCAGCACCCCTGACCATCATTCAAGGCATCCCAGGGTGCCAGAGCACACTGGATGAAAACCACTGGTATATACTCCTCCCCTAGCCTCTACACCATGCATATAACCTCCAAGTACAGATAGATGAATCTGTCAATTTCCATTACTTTCAGTTCCTCGTTTTTTTAAGAAATCTTAGATTTAGTTCCTGCAGTTTATGGTTTTGTTTTAAAATCCTCATGAAAATTTATATCTTGGTGCAAATTTCTCTTAACGTACATTTTGTTGTATGCGGCTTTGCCTAAGAAACAATGTCATTTTGGCAAGCAATTTCCCTTAACATAATGTATTTGTGTTACTGACATATGCATTTTTATGAACGTATACTTCCCCCAATACATGTACTTGGGTTGCATTTTGTTGCACACCACTCCAATCTCCGAAGTGATGTTTCCAGGGAAATAAAATGCTCACCCAGCAAGGGTATAGCCAGGATTTTTGATGGGGGGGGCACTAAAAGTTGTTGAGATTTTTTTTGGCTGACGTCCTTTAAAAATGCACATTTCCTTTAAAATGTAAAGGCTTTTGTTGGGGAGGGCAGAACCTTAGTTTGTTAAATGTTTGTATTGCTTTTTGAGGATTTGGGGGGCAGCTGTCCCTCCCTTGGCTACGCCTATGTCACCCAGGGTTTGCATTTCCCTTTGGGAATGAGGCACAACACAGATTGTGGTGGCTTTAAGATATATGGTTTATTTACATATATATACAACCTGAGCCTGCAACAGAGGGGTTGGAATCCGAACAGACATCGGCCACGGTGATGTGTCCCTCTCTCCAGCTCTCTGCCTTTAGCAGCCTGCAACCTTTCCCCCTCTAAGTCACAAAACCTAAACCTCTGCCAACCCTTAAGCTCAATTTGAAACTCTGCTTTAGTGCCTTTGTCTTCTGAGTTGAAGGAGGGGCTCTCCCATTTTGCAGTCTGGCACAAAGCGGCCCCCCTCCCTTTGGCTTTCCTAATGGCTCATCACCTTCCTTTTGTTCCCCTACTGGCCCATCAGGAAACCAGCCTGGCTTATATTTTAACATTTGCTGAATCCAGGGGTCCAGTGTCCGGCCTCCAGAAACTCCTAACACAATCGGGAGTCTGAAACTCCTAACGGGGGGGGGTGTTGTCTGGCACCCACAAACTCCTAACGTTATTTGGTTGCATCTCAAAATCTGAAGGGAGAGTGTTGTTTTGGTGATTTTCTATGGGTTGGAGAAATGGGAAGTGTGCAGCTTCAAACTGGAACGCAGACCGAATCGAATTTCTCCTCCACTCTCCCCCCCCCCCCGCAGCCACCTGCTTCCGCTGGCAAATATAAACATGCCCCTACGCTTGCATGTAGGTGTGCATGCAGATTTCACATTCATACGTGCGTCACGCAGCCTTCCGAAAAGGGTTCCCTCGACCGCTTCCCTTCCCAAGACTTGAGCTGATTCGCGGAGGGGGGCGGAGAGAGAAGAGGCAGCCCCCTCTCCAAGCGAGCAGCGGGCGCCGCGGGGTCCTCGGCTGGCATTTCTCGGCGGCGCGTGCCGGGTCTCCAGCCTGAGGCGAAGTGAGAGGAAAGCGCGGGGGGCTAGACGGAGCAGGGCGGGCGGGCGCCTGGATGGGTGGGTTGCCCGCGCCGCCGCCGCCGCCGCCCTTTTGCTCTCCAGTCCGCGCTGCTGCCTCTTCCAAGCTGGGCGGGAGGATGACTTGGCACTGACTCCCGCTCCGGCTGGCTCCACGCGTCCGGGTCTTGGCACAGGCCAGCCTGCTCCGTGCGGAGAGGGGCGGGAGTCGTCGAGGCTGAGGGCGGGCGAGCGAGCGAGCGAGGCTGCACAGAGGAGGAGGAGGACCCCCTCCAGCCGCCCGCAGCAGGAGCAGCTCCTTCTCCAGCGAGGAGGAAGAGCCGACGACGCCACACGCGTTCCCTTGGCAGGAGGAGCGCGCCGCTCTCCATGCGCCCTCATCCATCTCCAAGCGCCCGCATCCTCCTGCTGCAGCGGCCCGAGCGCGCGCCTTTTGCGCCCAGCCCAGGTAAGGTGCTGCTCCCCTCCTCTCCCGGGCTGACAGCGGGGTAACGCCGCGGGTTGCCTTTGTGCCCTGCTCCCTCCGCGTCTGAGGGGATTTCGCAGGCCGGGAGCGGCGGTGGGTCGGCGGAGGAGGATGGAGCCTCCCCGCTCTTCCCCCCACACGCCCCGCCGCCAGCCTCTTGGATAGACCCCGAGGGCCCCTAACGGACGCGTGCCACGCAGGAGCGGCACGTCGCCGCTGCCGCCGCAGAGCCGGCGAGGAGCCCGCCAAGTTGCCCGTGTCAGCTTCGCGCCGCATCACATGCTGCGAGCGATGCGTTGGCAGCGGGGGGACAATGGCTGCGTGCGCCGGGACGAAACTGCGCGCAGGGCCGGAGAACCGGTCTCTGTCTGGCCGGCTCTCCGGGTGGGATAGATAAAGCAGAGAGCTAGGCATGCAGGCACGCGCAGGCCTCTCTCTCTCTCTCTGCCTGCACCCACCCACCAACTCGGATTCGGCCAGACAGGCATAGGAAGAAGAGCAGGTCTGTATTCGTGGCCACACTCTCCAATGACTTGGATTGTGCAGGTGCGCGCACACGGGAAGATGCACATGCTTGCGTCCCCGTACCCCCCTCTCACGACCTTAAATGCCCATTGGGGCAACTCTGCCTTTTCAAACTAGAGTGGTAAAAGGCACTCTGGAAAAGATGCTGCGTTGTTTTATTTTAGAGGGGAGTTGTTGCCTTAACAGGGTTGTTATCCCTGCATTTCTTCGCTGGCATACGAATGGATGATAATACTAATACAGAAGGGATTTCTCTGTCGTTCCCCCCCCCCCGTCCCTTTCCTTTGCAGTCAAGATGTGTGTTTCCTGCATAGCGGGAGCATTTTCTCTGCATTAACGATGTCATCAGAAAAGCTGGGCCTGGGATGCGATACCTTCCTCGTATCATGATAAAAGAAGCTGCGTGTGCATGCTTAAAAAGTTGTAATCCGATGCTGATACTGTGCTGTAATAAACCTCCAGATGAAGCTTAAACACCCAGAACTGGCGTGGGGGCATGATGTTATATAACATAATTCGGTAGCAATGAAGTAAAACCGTTTTGAAAGCTCAGTTTGCTTATTTTCATCTTGTAAGAGAAATTGGGACATTCTCCTCATTGCAAAAGTACAATTTCACATCTGTGCTTAATTAATTGCTCCTGCATGTTGGAGAAGGCGAGCTTTAAAATTTTGATGGAAAAGTTGGCATACTAAACCATCACCTTTCTTTTTTCTCAGCTAGGTTTCTTAGATGAATTGTGTTTTAATTTTAGTTTGCTCAAGATGCTGTGAAACATTTGTTTATCCTTGCTGTTATTTAAGGCTCTTTGGGAAAGACTGCTTTGACAGGCTCACCCTTTCTAATGCGCAATGTGGTAATCTTTAAGGCTTCCCATCTCTTTAATTTCATTTGACAATCAAATTGTTGTGAGGCTGCCTAACACTGTGGGTGTTCTTGTTGACTAATAAAAAGCCTTTCACCATCAGGAAATAAAGCCAGAATACCTCATTTGTATTTCTAGTGGTGAAACACATTTCCAAGGTCGAACACTAACCTGCAGTGTAACTTGAATTTAACAATCTGTCATCTGTCAGGAAATGTGCCTGAGCCTCTTTAGAAGGTTGTGCACTCATTCCTGCTTGGAAATAATTAAATAAATAGCTTCTCTTTCACATTATAATTTCTAATGTACTAACAATGAGTCACAAGTGCAAGAAACCAGTTAATGTGTCCACCAATAAAATTGTCAGTAGCTGCTGAGCCCTGGTGGCACTAGCTTCTCATTATATGATTGATAGTTCATAATCTTGGGAACACCTAAATCTTAACTGGATGTCACTGGATCAGAGATTTGAGCAGGGTTCCCCCCCCCCGCTTCAATGGCATAATCTCTTGGGACTGGATATCATTCTCTTATGTAACAACCATCCTTCACTCGTATATCCATGCCTACCTTAATTTGATTGTGGTTTGTCCACATGATATGACCTTGTCTTTTAGAGGCTGCTGAAGAACTGCAAAGAAACAGGATAGGATAAAATGATGTAGCCTGAAGTTTGTTGTATTCAGCTATAGAAATTAGCCAGGTGCCAGGTGCATTTTGCACCTAGCCATTGGCCAAATGCAACCAACTGAAGATGCCTGGGCACCAGGATGGCGCCTGACATCTCTACCATCTGGAGGTGCATGTCTGCGGATCATTGGATCTTGTCTGTTTTCACACACCAGCAACACATCCTGTATAATTCTATCCATTATATTTTATCTGCACCATCGGAATGAATTTCAGGAACCAAAATGCTTTTTCTGTGCAGCCTGAGCAGGAGCGGTGAACAACGTTATAGTTTTAATTGTTGTAGCTTGTTTTCACTTAACTCCACCCCACTGCCCTGTTCTCAGTTGTGAAGAATATTCTTATGTTATGAATGGTCTGTGTCCACATTAAGGGGAAAAGAAAGTAGGAATAGGCCAATATATATGTAGACTGTCCCTGGATCAAGTGACTTTTCTTCTTTTAAGTTTTCAGAATTCTTAACCTAGTTCAAGGTTGTCATCAGAACTAGCCAGATGTTTAACTGATAATCTGTCAAAGTCAGTCCATCGTTTGAAGAAGAAGAAGAAAAAGACTTGTTAGAGCTGTCTTGCCCCAAAATGGCAGCAAGGCATTCCATTTTGGCAACTGTTACCTTGGTTTAAGGAGCTGTTTGGCACCTCTTTTATGTATCTGAATTTCTAACGCGGGTTGTATTTCAGGATAAATTGATGTGCTTTCATTGTCATGTTGCATTGCCTAGTTGCCTGGATGTATAGCTCATTAATTCAGTGTAAGTTAGAGCAAATATTTATGTTTCCAATGCAGTTCCTTTTCAATACACAGACACACACACACACACACACACAGTATGAGTTACCCACTTAAGTCACTCATTTGCCTCAGTTCTATTTGAAGTTGGCTTCAGTTTGCAGTTTCCTGAGGTCTTACTCAAAGAAAGCTTTTCTTTTTTACCATGTTTTTCCCCCAACGGTGAAAAGTTTTGTTATGCCAAATGCTACCCTCTAAACAAGTAGCAACCTTGACAAAAAAGTATTGAATGACGGACGAACTGAAACGTAGCCCTGTGTAGAATTCAGTCGGGCAATCTAATATGAAGGACAACGTTTATTAAGCTGAATTAACTGCCGGAGTGATCTTGAGGTGGAATGAAACTAAAATACAAATTAAAAATAAAATCCTTTCACTTTATTGGATGAATGGCTGCCATTTCAGAGTTATGTACGAGCAATGTCCAACCCTGTGGAATAACTTATGAACTGTGTATATCCTTCTTTTTCGCAGGAGGGCTAATGTGCTGGCTTGGATCCTGTTTTCTAAGCCGAGTTCAACTTAGAGAATGAGGCTTTCCCCTTTTCTGCTGTAGCCTCTTGTATGTACCCCAAAACTGCTTCTTCAGCAGGGGGGACCATCAAGGCTTGCAGCAGAAAGGAAAGATCAGTGATTTTTTCTTTTTAACCTGGTGATAGTGCCTCCTACTTGCACAACGATGCCTTTGGATTCCAGCTGTTGCGATTCAGACTTCCTGTTGTAAGATAGAAAGAATCATTTGCTAATGCACAATATTTTGGGGTGTATTCTATGATGCACTCTCAGGTGCTGGTGACCTCTGTCGGGCTTGTTTATTCATTTGTTTCATTGTATTTCTATCCCACCTTTTCCCTCCATGGAGCTTAAGGAGGCGTACATACAGTGGCGTAGCGTGGGGGGTGCAGGGGGGGCCGGCCGCACCGGCCGCAACATCTGGGGTTAGGGCAAATCCACAGGTTAGGGGGCGCAAATTACTTGCCTTGCCCCGGGTGCTGACAACCCACGCTACGCCACTGCGTACATACATGGTTCCTCTCCCTCAGTTAACCCTCACAACAATCCTGTGAGGTAGGTTAGGCTGCGAGGCAGTGACTGGCTGGAGGTCACCCAGGGAACTTAATGACCAAGTGCGGCGTTGAACCCTTAGGTCTCCCAGGTGTTAGTCCAGCGCTTGAACCACTATGTGAACTAAGAATATAATGGCCTCCTCCATAGTGTTATGGATTGTAAGCTTTCTGCGCAGAAGAAAAAAAATGGTAGCAGTGATCAGCTTTGTTTCTTACTCTACCCGTTCCTTTCTACCTTATTCTGAAAAGGCCCACAAACCCTGCCTCTCCTTTGTGCAGTGTTTCTGTGAACGAGTGCTCAGGCTTATTTTGCCACTAGGGATATCCGTGGGAGAAGGAGGCCAAAATATAAATGCCTACCTTTTGGCGAGTAAGGACAGGATTAACTCCGGCTTGGCTTTGCCATGGAACATGGAAGACAGAGCTTGTTACACAAGTGGATAGCTCAGTTGGTTAGAGCGTGGTGCTGATAATGACAAGGTTGCAGGTTCGATCCCCATATGGGACAGCTGCATATTCCTGCATTGCAAGGGGTTGGACTAGAGGTGATCCTCAGTTGGAACAAGAATGCATTCAGTTGAAGGGAATAAGCAGGAAAAAATTAAGATATTTGGAGAGAAGCAGAAGTACAGTACAACCCTAAAGAGCAGGAAATATTGAATTATTTTATAGATGCGACCAAAACATTATGGCAATTGGATCAGTATTTTGAAGGCTTTCCTAGTTAAACAGTAGCAAGCTCTTGTCTGAGCAATTTAGTTCACCTGATTCACATACAGTGGTACCCCGCAAGACGAACGCCTCGCAAGACGGAAAACCCACTAGACGAAAGGGTTTTCCGTTTTGGAGGCGCTTCGCAAAACGAATTTCCCTATGGGCTTGCTTCGCAAGACGAAAGCCCATAGGGAAATCTTCGGGGACCTCTTTTAAATGCTAGCGGTGGGGAGCAAAGCCTTTCCCCCCCCTCCGGCCTTCAGAAGAGGTCCAGGAAGGCTGGCGGGGGCCGAAAGGCTTTGCTCCCCACCGCCAGCATTTTAAAAGCAGTCCGGGATAGCAGGGAAGCGCTTCCCGCTATCCCGGACGGCTTTTGAAGGCAGGAGAGGTCTGCGAAGCCTGGGCGCGCGGATCTCAGCGCGCGCAGGCTTCGGCATGCCGGCAACTCACCGCAAGCAGCGGCAGCGCTGCCGCTGCTTGCGGAGAGGTCCGCGAAGCCTGGGCGCGCTGATCTCAGCGCGCGCAGGCTTCGGCATGCCGGCAACACTCAGCAAGCAGTGGCAGCGCTGCCGCTGCTTGCGGAGAGGTCCGCGAAGCCTGGGCGCGCTGATCTCAGCGCGCGCAGGCTTCGGCATGCCGGCAACTCACCGCAAGCAGCGGCAGCGCTGCCGCTGCTTGCGGAGAGGTCCGCGAAGCCTGGGCGCGCTGATCTCAGCGCACGCAGGCTTCGGCATGCCGGCAACACTCAGCAAGCAGCGGCAGCGCTGCCGCTGCTTGCGGAGAGGTCCGCGAAGCCTTGGCCGGACAGCTTTTGAAGGCAGGCGGGGGGAGCAAAGACTTTCGCCCCCGCCA